TCCTTCTTTCAACCTTTTCATATTTCTCATTCCCACAATCTTTTTCACCTTCTTATATCATTTCAAAATTCATTGTTTATTTTAGGAGAAACAAAATTTTATTTTTCACCTATTTTCATTTACTGTTTAAATTCGATTCAAAAAGAAAAGGACACAATTGGGGTAAAATTGTGAATGAACTTACGTGGACGACGTGGACGTGACGTTTCATTATTCAGTTCAGAAATTACACCTGGCTAATGTTTCACGCTTCATACAGCTATACTGCTGTTTCTGATCTCAATTATACATTTTTTCAAAAGTAAGAAATTTATGAATACTTTTTTTTTTTGTAATATTACTTCATTTCTTCTCTTTACTTATTTATTATTTTTCAAAAAAAAAAAAAAAAACAAAAATCAATATTATTCGATTATTGATTATTATTCAATGACTATTTGTTACTGAGGTCATAGCTTCTCCATCACTCTCAAGTTATGGTGACCTTTACATTTGTTGACATATATTTATATATGTAATATATACTCTTTCTTATGTTACATATATATTTCAATGTTATATACAAAATATTTCAATCAAATTCCTTTATCATCTTCTTCTTGTCTCTCTCTCTCTCTCTTTCTCTTTAACATTGTTTTTTTTTCTTCCTCTCTTCCTTTTTTTTTTCCTTTTCATACTCAAAAATTTTAATTCATTTCTTTTTCCAATCATTAAATCACCTTTTTTTTTTTCTAAATTTTTGACAATTTTTCATAGAAAACATATTTGTTATTGTCACTATTTTCTTCTTTTTTTTTTCGATTAAAATATTTTAAACATAAATATCGATTTGTTTAATAAATAGATTAAAAATATTATTTCAATTAAAAAAAAAAATGGTCAAATTAATAATTTGTCTCATTTAATTTGATTTTACGAAAATGTATTATTTTAAAATGAGCGATAAATTAATAAAAGGAATAAATGAACTTGGTAATGTTAAATTTTTATTTTACAGTTTTTTCTTCTTTTTTTTTCTCTTAGTGATTTTACCATTTGTCAATCGTAGTTACTTTTTTTTTCCCCTCTAAAAAATAATTAATTTTACAGTATTAGCAATTCCTTTGAATTGATCATATATTCGTTTTTTCTCCTTTTCTTTCTTTTTTTTTTTTCTCCATTAAAATCTAATTTAATTTGAATTAAACAATTTGTTATTAATTATTGTGGAAATTTAGATTAAAATTTTCACAATAATTTTTGCTCATATTACAAATCCAAGCCTTGGTTATAGTTTAAAATATAATTTTTAAATTTCAAACATTAAAATTTAAATGTTTTATCTAAAACAAAAAGAAGACAAATCATTCCTAAGGTAATTCTGTTTTGTATTTTAATGCTATGTATATGTATGTATTATCTTATTGTAAATTTCTTCAAGTTTCTTTTTTTTTTTCTTTTAGTCTCCAGCAAGTGAATTGAATTTTTGGATAATAATTTAAAGAGAATTAAACAAGAAGGTAATATGATTGCAAAACAATATCTGAAACCATGGACTGAACATCAGCGATCAAATACGTCAGGTTAATTTTTTAATTTTTATTTTTTTGTTCTTTAATTTTTTTTCTTTTTTTTTTTTTTTTTTACTTACTAATATAGAAAAACAATCGAATCTATTATTATAGAAAATAAAAATTGATATATATTCTACTATGAATTATGATATCTTGATTCATTTGATATTTATAGGTACAAGAGTTGAATGTTTTGATCCATCATCCACAGATGCTTTATATGTCAATGTTGGTAAGCTAACAAAACTTGATCCTGATGAAGCAGTTAAAAATTTAGAATTAAGGTAAATTAATAAATTGAATCTATTTTAAATATTAAATTAAATATTTACGAATGCATCTATTAGTTTATTGAAATCATGATCACTTCAGCTAAATATTATGTGTTAATTATGGAAAATATACGCTACTATTGATACATATATCATTATCAAGTGATTAACTAATTAATCATAATTATCAAATGATTAATTATATATCACAATCAAAGTATTGATATTAAAATCTAAAATTCCAATACATATTACATTATTGGATTTGTTAACATTAAACATCAAATAAACTCGAAAAACTGATTATACCTGTTAATATAAATATAATTAGTAAACCAATCATCCTTATCACTTTTGTTTTAATGTTGAAATTATTGTTAAATAAATTTGTACTTTTAGGTTTTTTTCTTTTTTTTTAGTGGTATCATTTTATGATGGTATAAGAATAGAAGAATAAAAACATATTAGACACCTTTTTTTTTGGTCCCAAAATTGCCACTAAATTTTTTTTTCCAGGATAGCAAAAACTCGAGAACGAGCAGCCGGAAATGGAAATGCGACATCTAGCGGTCATCGTCATCGTCATCGAAATTTTGAAACTGGTATATAGTTTGGAAAAAATTATTATTGTATAAATTACAATATTAGACATAAATGTTGATGTATAAATATTAATGAATTTAAATGTAAATTTGAAATTGAGAAGTAAATGCAAATTTAAAATTTAAAATTCAAAACTTTCATAATAATTAAGATAGTTAGACGTAGAGATAAACATTTCATAGCATTATCATTATCATTTGGTATAACAACACTACGTTATAAAAATGATTTTTTACCATGTATCATTTTACTATGTAATCCAAATAATAGTTTTGCATCTATCAATATATTCAACAATCTTCTGCTATACGAAATTTTAAATACTTTAAATTTAACGATACTATTCTGAAACTTATTTGGACAGAATAGATTTAATTTTCCATTCCATCATATTCATTGATATACTGTACATACGTAATTAGCGCGTATTGGGGAGAGAAGATTACAATAGGTTCACGTAAAAATAGGCCAACTTACGTGTTCATTTTAGTAGTAGTAGCTGATATTCAAAAAAAAAAAAAAAAAAAAAAACAATGCAATTATTTCTTCTATTGCACGGGGAAAAAAAAACGTGGCATACGTAACTCTGATCAATTTTATAAACATATTTATGTATATGCAAATCTCTGAAATAATAGAATACAAAGCATCTTTTTTTTTTGATAATAATTACAGTATTTAATCATAATTTAATTTATTTTTATTTTAATCGATAATTTTTTCAATCAACAATTTCTTTAAAAAATCAATAATTTCATACGGAAATAAAACAAATAAACCTTATCCTATAATAACATTTCTTCTTTTTTTTTTATTTTTCTAATTTTTGAATTTTGCGATTTCTTTCATATCCAATGATGTCATCCGTTTTAGATATGGGAGAGAATGGTAAAGAGGAGATTTTGGGTGGAGCAGGGAACTGATAATGATATCATTTTTACATCAATAAGCATACAAACATATATACATACAAAGACGCACATACACACACACACATACACATACACAGACATACATCCAAAAAGGCTATTGCGTTTTTGAGATTCATCAAATCTTGTTAACATGTCAAAATTGTTATCCTTGAAATTTTCACATCAAATAGATTAAAATTTTTCTTTTTTATACTTCAAATTTTAGCCAAAATTTTATTTCGGAATGAAATTTTCAGCAAAAAGATTTCTTCCCTATCCTATCATAACATTTGCATATTGATATATGTGATGTATTTATCCATTACTGTCTGTGTATATGTGTATGTGTATGCATCTGTATGTGTGTGTGTATGTGTGTATGTGTATGTGTATGTATACATAGATATATGAGTATATGATTTAACCTATGAAAGAGGGAAAAAAAATTCTAACCTCTAAAATGCTATCAATGTATGTTCATTGCACCTTTTTTTTCCTTCCTTCTGTAAGTAGTGTTTTCTTTTGCAAAAATCATACTACGTGACAAACTAACAATCATTGCTATCAATCCCCTTATCAGTATTGGTGACAATGATATGCCAGAATATGACAAATGATTATATCATTATTTTTACAACATATAGCAATAACGATAGATAAAATTAATGCAGTCGTAGCAGTAAGCGACAATGACTATTACTAACCCATTTGTTATATCAAGACGCGGTTCCAACAATTGGGTTTGGGTTGGAGCCGTGGAATATTTCGTGTACAATAAAGAAAACGATGCACTACGTAAGATTACCAACCGATGACATTGATAATGCGACATGTGCGCAAGTGGAAGCAATTGCAACAACTTCTGATATCAAGACAATTATCAATACAACAAATGTCGTAAATGGAACAAAAACAACAACGATTGCAATAGCTACAACGAATGACTTCTTGGGTAATATCAAACGATGGCAGTACTTTTCCTTTCATATCTCTCCTCTGTCCATTACTATTAATTTAACCATCCGTTCTGCATCTATAATGTACATATTCTTCTTGTACATCTTCTCTGTATGTGTATCTTTTTGCGCACGTGCATGTCTGTCTGTACGTGTCTGCACGTACAAAGACGCCAACTACTATCATAGGTGGGAAATATATGTATATATATGTGTATGTGTGTGTGTGTGTGTGTGTCTGTGTGTGTATATATAAGCGTGTACGTCTTTTCATTCCGTTTCCGTTCATCCAATTATGTTTCTTCATTGCTTACCATTATCATATTTATATAAAATATTGGAAACGGAGTTAAAATTCCGAAACAAGGCTGTTATGTAGATTTAATCAGTTATAAATTATTTGCGAGATTTTTGACAAATAATAATAATGAAAACATCCGGAAAAGCTAATTTGCTATCGTAAATTAAGAAACGAGAAATGTTTCTTTTAAATTTTAATTAAAATTATTTTTTCATAGGCAAACTTGTGCCAAATTTTAATGGTCATTTATTTTCCGAACGGAATTTCAATAAATAATACATTTGAAAGGAAAATTTTAATGGATGATATTATTATACTTTAAAAAGAAAAAGAAAGAAAGAAAGGGAGCGGATAATACAAACATTCTAAAATATTCAAAATATAATAAATATTTTCGT